ATTATTATTATTATTATTATTATTATTGTCATATTATTATTATCATTACCATCATCATTATTATTGTTACTATTATTATCTTTATCATTATTATATCATTATTGTTACTTTTATTAGTACCGGTAGTAGTAGTATCATCATCGTCATCATCATCACCATCATCATCATCACCATCATTGTGTGGCCCAGATGACCAAAGAGTGGAACGGGCTGGTGAGAGTCCTACAGGACATGGAGGCTGACCTGGTTCTGACGTCATTCAAGATCAACCCCGGGCGGGCGGAGGCTGTCCGGTTCTCTGTGCCCTACCTGGAGACGGGCATCAAGATCATCGTGGCCCTAAGGGCGGGCGCTATCTCGCCCACTGCCTTCTTAGGTGAGTCAAGGCTGGTTATTGTTATATGAGGGTTCACACGTTATCGTATTATTATTATTATCCATCTGATCAGATCAGATCTGCTTGATCGGTAGAAAAAGGGGGGCTGGGGAGTCAAGAGGGAGGGCAGGCTGACCAGAGTAGGTAGGCCTACACTGACTTTGCTTCCTCAGGATTACAACGTTTTATCTGACATTTTTTTCTTTTTTTTTGGGGGGGGGGGTGGCCTGTTTGAGTTACTACCACCTTGAGGTCAGAAACCACATGTTCCATCTGCTTTGCCAAAATCATAACATTATTTGGAGGCGTTATCAAGATATTCAAAGAATTAATTGCATTCGAAAAAGCTTGACATGTTGTGAAACTTAAACTTGTTTTTCCTGTTTCAAATTTCTTAAACTAGGAGATGTGAAGATAGAACTTTGTAATTATAAGGTAATAAATTTTTAGATTGAAAGCAGAAAGGTTGAGCCGCGACCTCCCTGAGGTATAGTTCTCGACTTGTATTCAAGATAAATTGATATTAATTTTTTTTATCCAAATGAAGACAATTGAACAAGCTTTAAGATTATACCAATAACTCTACAAGCCAAAATTTTGACGAGAGCCTGATTTACCACGCTGCCTCACAAATCTGGATACGAAATAAAGTGTCTAGATCTATTGATTTGTAGTATTTGTACGCAGGGAGAGGTATTGGCAGTCAAATTTATCGATATTATTATTCTCCTTTTATGGAATGAAGAGCGGCTAAAGGGCTAGAAAAATCCCCTTTGCTATCAATTGTTTCAGATGGGGTTGGGAGGGGGGGGGATATGGTCGCTTTTAAGCACAAGGGGGCTGTCTCGAAAAATGCTATTTTGAGAAAATCGAAGGTAAAGTTTTTGCCCCTTGTTCAATTTCATTAAAAGACAAGGAGAGTTTTCTCTATAACCAAATAAATATACACACCAATGAAACCAAACTTCTCCTATCGGTAGGGCAATGTCCACTTTTGATGAAGGTCAAGATTTCTGGAAACCCCGGAAATCTGTGTTTACCTGCTTGTCCTTAAAAGCGACCATATGACGTCAATATATTTTCAGCTCTAAAGTTTGGGTTTTCTTTTTTGATTGGGGGGATGGGGGGGTGAGGGTTGGAGCAGGGTTAAGTTATTTCCCTCTGATCATGCTTGGAAATGACCAAGAAAACTGACGTGACCGTCGGGGAGTCAACTTAGGATGATCGTCGCCTCTCGTGAAGATTTGACCAAAATTCAAAAGAGGTTCCGTGAGTATATTACACAACTCGCTTATTTAGGGTGCGACCAAGCTAAACGTTACCAAAGATCGTTCATAACAAGATAGTTCACTCGGCCAAAAAAGTGTCCACAGAAGTCCACGCATTGGTTCAGATGGTGCTGCTGTCTTTGTTTTAAAGCTCTCTGGCTAAAACAGTACCTGGACATTGATGGCTGGTGTCTCTATAAATAAATCATTGATGGTAAAAGTTTCGAAGCTCTCTTTCGTTTCTCCTGAAGAAGAATAGGAAAGCACAGTTCGTTAGTTTCACTTCTACTTCTATTGTTTTTTACACAAGTAGGGTATCTCTGGTCGCAAAGCCCGCTCTTTTTAAAAGAGGGCGCCACTAAATTTTAGGACACTGTTTTAATTGGCTCAAAGAGAGGAGTGAACCATCTTGCCATGTACGATCTTTGACGTTACTGGGACAAATATCTACGGATGAGTAAAATAAAATCCCCATCATCATTGCCTTTCTCACCCTGCACCAGGGTATAATAGGCCACGAATAAACACTTTACACCTTAAAATATAATGATTCTTATGAAAACAGAGTCACAGAAGTTCTTTCTCCGTCGTCAAGACAGATTTGATTAGAACCCATAAGGTTATGAGAGGTATTTAATATGCTTCTACTGCTGAAGATTGCTTTTACGCTTTTTGTTTGTTTTTAAATTATTATTATAACTTTCAGGCCCTATACAGACACAAATAGGTATTACTATTATTTTAAAGGATCAGCTTCTGTCTTGTGCTAAAAGTAAAGATGGAGGATGGAGGAAGGTGACAGATTTATTCACGATGATCGAGAACACAAAGTTCTTCTTGTACGCCCAAGTGTAGCATTATTACATGACGTGTTTTATGTGCTGTTACACAGTTCTCTCCTGTAGACAGTGCACACCACTACTTTGTTTGATGATGATGATGATGATGATGATGATGATGATGATGATGATGATGATGATGATGATGATGATGATGATGATGATGATGATGATGATGATGATGATGATGATGATGATGATGATGATGATGATGATGATGATGATGATGATACATCATGATGAGAAAGATGGTGATTATAGTGATTATGATAATGAAGAGGAGGAGGAGGAGGAGGAGGAGGAGGATGTATGCATATGTGTGTTTGTCCACCCTTGCTGTGCTGTTCTGTCCACAGACAAATGTAAACAGTTTTGAACGTAACAATTATAGTTCCCCTAATCTCACGGCTATTGGTCAGAAAAAATGTATTCAGCTTCAAATTTCAAACTATAGTAGTTCCTTTTTTTGGTATGGTTATGAAGAAGAGTATTTGAGAATAGAAGAATTATAATACGTGATGTAGTGGGATTGGGGGGGGGGGCGACATTACATCCTGCTCCTGGTGTTTTGATTTCCGCATCCACCTGAAACACAACGGAATGTCTTCAGGGGGTACATATAAATGGTCGCTTTTAAGCACAAGTGGGCTATCCCGAGAAATGCTGTTTTAAGAAAATGGAAGGGAAAGTTTTTGCCCCTTATTCAGTTTCTTTAAAAGACAAGGAGAGTATACTCTATAACCAAACAAATATACACACCAATGAAACTAAACTTCTCCGAAAGGTAAGACAACGTCCATTTTTGGTGTAGGTCAAGATTTCTGGAAACCCCCGAAATCTAGGTTAGCCTGCTTGCTTTAAAAGTGACCAAATTTAGAACTGGCTCTCTGAAACAAATGTTATCCTATCGCAGACTGAAGCTAAAACGCCTCTAAAGTTACACATCAGTGTTGAAAGGGGCGTATAATCACAACTTCTATACTGCACTTGAATGCGAAGCCTCGAAAACTAAATAATGTCTAGACAGGATGAACAAAGTAATGATACTGTAGTTGCAGGAGCTCTAAGTCTAATAGTTTTTCAAGTAACAACTCTAATTTTCGGCACCTATATGACCTGATTGTGGCGCAAGTGCAGTAAACCCTTACTAAAAGTTGACCTACTTTTTGTGCTGCAAGGGTTTTTATACAACTCTACTAAAAGTTGACCTATCTGTATTACAAGTGTCGTAAAACGCTTATTAAAACTAAGAGCATTTATTTGGCTATCTCTCAAGTTTACCTCTAATCATCGGCACTGTAATGGCCTATAATGTGTGTAGCATGTGTCGTAAAACTCTTACTAAAACTTAGAAATCAAGCTATCTCTCAAGTATATCTCTAATCTTCAAAACATCAAATTACCCATAATACGTTTTGCAAGGGTCGTAAAACTCTTACTAGAACTTTTATTAACTTAAACTTTCTCTCCAATTTATCTGTAGTCATCGATACTGCAATGATCTATACGTGTTGCAAGGGCAGTAAAACTTTTACTAAAACTGAAAAAGAATCAATCTTTCACTCAAGTGTATCTCTAATCATCGGCACTGTAATGACCCTTCTGCACTGCAAGTGTCGTAAAACTCTTACTAGAACTAAAATAATTAAGCTATCTCCCAAGCTTATCTCTAATCTTTAGCACTTTAATTACCTGAATATGTGTTGCAGGTGTCTTAAAAGTTTTATTTCTTAACAAACAAATAAAAAGAAATACCCTATCCGTACGCCTGGGGTCATTTTGTACCCCAGGGGTTGTAGTATTCACTTTTTAGAATACTTCTAGAGCTAAGATCTCTTTGAAACTTTCAGTCTTTCTCAAATAATCATTTTGACGGACTGCTATGCCAAGAGTACGGAAAGGATTCACTAGTAAATTTCCTCTTTGGATAGTGGGGGCACAGAGTTCCCCACGTCGTACGGGTATGTATACGATAGTAAAACACGAATTACGAATAGGGTTAAGCTTTCTCTCAAGTTTATATCTAATCATCGACAATGTATTTTGTTATAGAAAATCTATAATACGAGATGTGTTGCAAGAGCTGTAGTGTAATGCTACTATTACTAACTAAAACTCCAAAACAAACAGTCTCTCAAGTTGATCACTTGTCTTTGGTACTGCAATTATCTACATATCATATGTGTAGCAAGGATTGTACAAAACTCTTTCTAGCTAAATCTCAAACACAAAACAGTCTCTCAACTTCTATATGTGTAGCAAAGGTTGTACAAAACTCTTTCTAGCTAAATCTCAATCACAAAACAGTCTCTCAACTTCTATATGTGTAGCAAAGGTTGTACAAAACTCTTTCTAGCTAAATCGCAAACACAAAACAGTCTCTCAACTTCTATATGTGTAGCAAAGGTTGTACAAAACTCTTTCTAACTAAATCTCAAACACAAAACAGTCTCTCAACCTATATATGTGTTTCACGAGTTGTACAAAACTATTTCTAGCTAAATCTCAAACACCAAACAGTCTCTCAACCTATATATGTGTTGCAAGGATTGTACAACAGCTAATACTAACTAAAACTCCAAAACCAAACAGTGTCTCAAGTGTATCACTAGTCTTTGGCACTGTAACTATCTACATAGTGTCTTTGGAACTGTAATTATCTACATAGTATCTTTGGCACTGTAATTATTTATGTGTTGCTAGGGTTGAACAACAACTAATACTAACTAAAACTCCAAAACAAACAGTCTCTCTCACTCACACGTTACACGTCACCACAGCTGCCGCTCACACAAACCTCCCCCTTTCCCTCACCGCCAATGTTTATTTCCAGAGCCGTTTGACTTCTTTTCCTGGCTGCTGATAGTTCTGCTGTCCGTGCACATTATGGCCACCGCCATCTGGCTCTTTGAAGTAGCCCTGCCCCGGGGCTTTTCCAGGGCGGAGCAAGGTAGTAGGGCACGGGCAGGAGGAACGGGCCTTCCTCTTTTCCTTGATCCTTTTTTTTTTTTTTTTCATTATTGGGAGGCTATTTTGTCATTTTGTTAAGTCTTCACCCATCATGTCTTTTGCCCGGTTTTTTGGTTTGGTTTTTTTTTTTTTTGGTTCAGCTATGATTTTCGGATGAAGTCTGAGTTGGTTTCTTTTTTTTTTTCTTTTTTTTATTACTTTTTAAACTGTCAACATCTCGGTCGGTCCCCAATTTTTACGTCATTTGTTCCTATCGCACATTCGTGAGTATTTTTTCCCTCTTCATTTTCCTAATGCTTGAGATGCATTCATTCATTTTGCCTCTGTTTACGTAGCTAGATCTTTCCAATCTGTCTTTTGTTTCCATTCCTTCCGAGTCCTTCCTTTGTATAGAGCCAGCAAGCGCCGTAGCAGACATCTCTGATTTAAATTGTTAAAAGAAACCATCTTTATTTCAGTAAGGATTCACTACAGCAGCAGCATTTGAAGCATTCTTTTCAATGTTGTGCTTAGCAGATCTGTGTTCATCACTAAAAATAAGGCTTCTGAAAGCAAAATCAATATCAAATTATCGTATCCCCCCAAAAAAAAATGTTTTAAAAAATTGTACAGAGCAGTCAAACCCCATTATAAAAACTAGAAACATTTCGTCATCGTAACCTTTGTTTAATAAACCTGGATGTACAATTTATTTCTTAATTTCTTCTTCTCATTGCTATTATCCCTTTCTATGTTACCTGTTGCATAATGCATGGAACGTTAACGTTATGTTCTTCACCTTTTTTTTCCTTTCTGTGAAGGTTTTTGTGTCTTCCAGCTTCTGTCCCAGGCCGCCTGCCCGTGGCCACTCCAACCGCGTCATCCTTGTATGGCTTTCCCTCACACCTTGCTCGGCTTTTTCCTCTCTCCTACATGACACACAGGCTAGATCTAGCAGTGACGGACGTTCCTTGTCGTCATCGTTTTCATCGTCGTCGTCGTCATCGTCGCCAGGACAGAGAGTCCTGAGACCGTAATAACGGTTAAGTTATGCGGTAACATACAGTAGCATGCAGTAGCATTCGTCAAAAGTATCTATAGTAACGATTATGCCTATTTCTGGGACCGTAATAGCGGTTATGTTATATTGCCTAACGCGGTGACATGCAATAGTAACATGCCTAACGTGGTAACGTGTAGTAGTAACATGCCTAACGTGGTAACATGCCTTAGTAACAAGCCTAACGTGGTAACAAGTAGTAGTAACATGCCTAACGCGGTAACAAGTAGTAGTAACATGCCTAACGTGGTAACATGCCTTAGTAACATGCCTAACGTGGTAACATGCCTTAGTAACATGCCTAACGTGGTAACATGCCTTAGTAACAAGCCTAACGCGGTAACAAGTAGTAGTAACATGCCTAACGCGGTAACAAGTAGTAGTAACATGCCTAACGTGGTAACAAGTAGTAGTAACATGCCTAACGCGGTAACAAGTAGTAGTAACATGCCTAACGTGGTAACAATAGTAGTAACATGCCTAACGCGGTAACATGTAGTAGGCCTACCATGCAGTAACATTCGTCAAAAGTATCTAAATCTATAGTAACGATTATGCCTCGGCCTAATACAGTAAGGTGATGTAACATTCACCAAAGTTATTTATAGGAACAACTATGCCTGACGCAAGTTTTTTGGGGGTAACGATTATGTCTTTTTAATGAAGTGACATGGAGTAGCAATCATCAAAGTTATTTAAAATCAGGAATGTGTCTAGTCCTGAAGCAGCAACACGTAGTAACATAGCCTATATCAAAGCCTTGCGCTGTAATATGGCGTTACATTCATCAAAGTTGTCTCTATAGTAACGATTATGCCTAATGCGGTAACATTCAATGACATACATCAAAGTTATCTATAAGAACGATTATGGATATTGCCGTAATATGCGGTGACAAACATCAAAGTTTTCTAAAATAACGATTATGGATAATGTTGTAATAAGCAGAGACATACGTCAAAGTAATTTTTAGGAACGGTCGCGACAGTTACGTGCAGCAACATTAATATGAACCAAAT